AGTTTGATAAATTTTAAAAAATTAAAAAACATATATTATATGATGTATTTTCTAATAAAAAATATTTTTAAAAATAATTATTATCATAATCTTAAATACTATTTAAAAATTATATCTCTTGTTTTTGTGACATGCATTATAAAACAAAATTCTAAATAAATAGCAAAGCGAGGACCAATATTTAAAACTTTCAGGTATCAACTTGAAATTTATAAACCTTATATTTTTATTCTTTACTTTTAAATTGAAAAAATATAAAATTTTTATTCATTTTTTGTCCAGGACAAATAATAGAGGGAAGGAAGTTTCAGGACATTATTTTTCTTTCCTTATTCTTTTCAGCTTCACAATATGGGTATTAAATTTTTTAAGATGTATATTATATGCTACTAATAATTTCATATCCAAATTAATTTTATATCAATCATATTATTAAGCTATATATATAAGATTTTTCATCATTTTATTATACTTAAATAAGCTGGTGTATTATTATTATCAAATCTAGATATTATGATCAGGCCTAAACACCTTAGATATGATGTTAGATGTCTTGAATGTGGTGTTGTTATCGGATCTAAGCGCTTTAAATTTAACGTGATCACTAAATTTTTGTTATTGCTAGATTCAGGTGTGGTTTAGGCTCTTGAACATCAAAAAATAATATATTTTTTAGAAGATTTTATAAAAAAAAACCATCTTTAAAGAAAAAAAACACTTTAGCCAAACATAACAAGAAAATGACGCAACTAAAACAACAATACTTAAATCCTTAAATCTAAACGTTTTTTATTTTTAAATTAGCACAAAGAAATTCTTTTGTTTTTTTTACTCCCAAAAAATATAATAGTTAGGGTGATGCATCTACTGCTGTATAGTCGGTACTGATATTTATAGTGAATCGAAAAAGAGAAACTACAAAATTGTTTTTTTCCCGTCACTCTAGTCTTAGTCTTATCCTCTCGTAATGTCAGGGCAGTATTACGGGAAGATAAAGACTAACTAAGATTGGACAGAACACTTTCGTAGTTTCTCCTTTTCGAGTCACTCTATAAATATCAGCACAGAGTACGCCCTCTACAGTAGCTGCTTACCATGATTGCTTCACCTTAACTATTATGTATTTTTTTATTTTAAAAATATTTTAAAAAAATTTAATTTTTTATTTTAAATTAGTATTTTTCATGTTTTTGAATTATTTTAATTTACTGGTATTAAAAATATTTTTTTAAATAAAAAATATTTTTTTAATATATTTTTAAAAATAATTATTATCATAATCTTAAATACTATTTAAAAATTATATCTCTTGTTTTTGTGACATGCATTATAAAACAAAATTCTAAATAAATAGCAAAACGAGGATCAATATTTAAAACTTTCATGTATCAACTTGAAATTTATAAACCTTGTATTTTTAGTTTTTACTTTTAAATTAAAAAAACATAAAATTTTTGTTCATTTTTTGTCCAGGACAAATAATAGAGGGAAGGAAGTTTCAGGACATTATTTTTCTTTTCTTATTCTTTTCAGCTTCACAAGTATTAAGTTTTTTAAGATGTATATTATATACTACTAATAATTTCATATCCAAATTAATTTTATATCAATCATATTATTAAGCTATATATATATAATTTTTCATCGTTTTATTATACTTAAATAAACTGGTGTATTATTATTGTCAGACCTAGATATTATAGCTAGGTCTAAACACCTTAGATATGATGTTAGATGTCTTGGATGTGGTGTTGTTATCAAATCTAAGCACTTTAAATTTAACATGATCACTAAATTTAAGAGTTTTAAATATATTATTATTGCTAGATTCAGGTGTGGTTTAGGCCTAATGTTATTGTTAGGTCTAAATGAATAAGTCTGGTTTAGTTGTTAAATTTAAATAATTTGGATTTAATATATTTATTAAATCTAAATAACATGAATCTGATATAATTACAGAGCTAAAATATTTAAATATAATAATTATCAAATTACACAATAACATAAGTTTGACATTGCTAACCACCATTACAATAACTATTTATATTATTTAATAATCGACAACATATTTATCATATCTAAGTGAATAGCTAAGCGAGGACGGATATTTGAATCTTTCAGATATCAGCTCGAAGTTCAAAACCTCCCAAAATAAAACTAACCATCCGCCAAGTCAGCAAGTAAACAGCAGATCCACAAACTAATATTTGTCAAGGTCAACACCGTCTAATTGGAGACTTCTTAATTAATTATCCCTTTCAGTCTCTAATAAGAGCCTAGAAAACCTCTATATATATCCACTCTCCAAGCACGTAAACTCTCATTCTTGGCTCTTTCGTTATTATTCATTACAAAAAAAAAAAAAAAAACCTCTCTTCCTTCTCTGCTCTCTTTGTGATAACTGGTTTTCTCTCGTGGACGATAATCATATATCAATGATGGCTATGCCAAACACTCTCTCAGTTCTTGCTCTGTTTGCTTTGTTTTTTGTGCTAAGTAACAATGGAGCCGAGGCTTCTCATAAGATTTATCCTCGGTTTCAGACTCTTAGTGTTGAGAACGTGAATCAAGTCCATAGAACCGGGTATCACTTTCAGCCTCCTAGGAACTGGATCAACGGTACATAAGCATCTTCTTTTCTTTCTTTCTCCCATGCAATGCAAATAGTAATACCTATAATATATTTATTTAACAAGTAAATAACATACGTTGCCTTTTTAATCTCTTTTTATGACCTTTTTGTTTTGTCTGTCTTAGAATCTTAAGTGTAGTAGGGATAAAGCTCTAATTGTTAGTCAAGATTTCAAATTTGATCTCCACGTACATTTTTTTAAAGAGATATATTACTTTAATTGTTAGTCAAGATTTCAAATTTACTTATTACTTTATTTTCTTATCATGAATTATTAATTTAATTACAGTGAAGATTTGAATTTTCAACTTTTTTTTTTGCAAATGTATTTAATAAAATTCGGGGGGTTGGCATATATATTAAGGTGTCCATATTTTTTCATGTCTCTGTTTTTGTGAATGGGATGAAAAATCTTTGGATATTAGACAAGAAGATGGTTGCAAATTGGACATTAAAGATGAGGTTAGTGATTATATAGGCATATTAATATTTGCATTGCGAATCTTCTTTTTCGAACAAGAGGTAGGGATTTATATCGCCAAGGTTGACATTGAAGGCAGAACCTAATTATGTATATAATCTTTGTCTTATTGCCTGCATAAAATTGGTGGGTCCCTTTTAGGCTTCAAAACTAAATGGCCGGCACCATTAATAGAGACAAAATGACTCTTTAGTATGCACCATAAGGACATTCAGACAGTTTTCATATGACTCTTTAGTATCTATTACTTGAATTTATTGCGTTCACATCTTAGGAGAGTGAGATCCAAACTTCAATTTACAAAAGGGGAAGACAAGGTGAAGAAGCACAAGCATTGATGAACCAAGCTTAATAACTTGGGCATATGTTGTTAAATAATTATTATTATGCAGGAAACTAGGGAATCTGGTGGGATAATCCTATATGAATCATTGCCAGGACAGATTATTGTTTTCAATGACATGACATGAGGTTTTGATGCTTTTGTTTGCCTTTAAATAAGGGTTGTACCATTTTTTACTTGCTGGGAACTTTCCTCACTAGTTCTGTTCAGCTGTTGTGTCAAATTTTTTGCATTGATTGATGTTTGAGTGAAAATTGACTTCAACAATGATGGCTAACTTTGTTTTTTTGTCTCCTTCTTGGGTCAATGACGCTTTTGGGTGCGGCTCAAATTGATTGGGGTAAATTTATCAACAATAGATCCAAATGGTAAGCCAACTCAACAAGAACCTGATTGGTTTCATGGCCAATTCAACAAGTATATTCAGACAGATTTTGAATCAATCCAAATCCTGATTTTGATTGTTTTACGTGTGCTATTATTGTATGAGCAGCACCTATGTACTACAAGGGGCTATACCATCTATTCTACCAATACAACCCCAAAGGTGCAGTGTGGGGTAACATTGTTTGGGCTCATTCAGTTTCAAAGGATTTGATCAATTGGGAATCCCTTGAACCTGCACTCTACCCTTCTAAATGGTTTGATAATTATGGATGTTGGTCTGGTTCAGCCACAGTCCTTCCAAATGGTGAGCCTGTTATCTTTTACACTGGTATTGCTGAAAAAAATAACAGTCAGATCCAAAACTATGCAGTACCCGCAAACTTGTCGGATCCATATCTTCGTGAATGGGTTAAGCCCGATGATAATCCAATAGTGAACCCGGATGTTAGTGTAAACGGTAGCGCATTCCGTGATCCCACCACTGCTTGGTGGGCTGATGGGCATTGGAGGATTTTGATAGGCAGTAGGAGGAACCATGTAGGGGTTGCATATTTGTACAGGAGTAGGGATTTGAAGAAATGGGCCAAGACTAAACACCCGTTACATTCAGTTCAGGGTACAGGCATGTGGGAATGCCCAGATTTTTTCCCTGTTTTATCATTCGGTGAAAATGGGTTGGATCCTTCAGTTAATGGACAAAATGTGAAACATGCATTGAAGGTTAGCTTAGATTTGACAAGATACGAGTACTATACACTGGGTACTTATGATAATAAAAAGGAAAAGTATTTTCCTGATGAGGGCTTAGTTGATGGTTGGGGTGGTCTTAGGTTAGATTATGGAAACTTTTATGCTTCTAAGACATTCTTTGACCCAAGTACGAATAGGAGGATTTTGTGGGGTTGGGCTAATGAGTCCGATTCTGTTCAACAAGATACGAACAAAGGGTGGGCAGGAATTCTGGTAATACTTGGTGGAATTTATTGTTAACTTTTTAGAAGTCATTTTTATTGGTTAATAACATTTTATGTTTTTTTTTATTACATTGTTGTAGTTGATTCCTAGGAAGGTATGGCTAGATCCAAGTGGAAAGCAATTGCTGCAGTGGCCTGTTGTAGAATTGGAGAAATTAAGAGGGCACAATGTTCAACTGAGCAATCAAAAGCTCAACCAAGGTGATCATGTTCAAGTTAAAGGCATCACTGTTGCTCAGGTTTGTTTCTTTGTTTGCTTTATATTTTTCTTTTTAGAAAAAAAATGGACATTTAAGTTCAAGAAGCAACTGCTTAAAAAATATATCAAGTCAAATGTTTTTTTTACCTTGAATGGTAATGAAGTTAAGCTAAGATTTTGCTGATTAATTATTTTACAGGCTGATGTTGATGTAACCTTTTCTTTCCCAAGCTTGGACAAAGCTGAGCCTTTTGATCCAAAATGGGCTAAGCTTGATGCACTTGATGTATGTGCCCAAAAGGGTTCCAAAGATCCTGGTGGAGTGGGGCCATTTGGACTCTTGACATTAGCCTCAGAAAATCTTGAAGAATTCACTCCTGTCTTCTTTAAAGTATTTAAAGCAGTAGATAAGCATAAAGTTCTCTTGTGCTCTGATGCAAGGAGGTTTGTGTTGTAACTTCGCTCTAGACATATGTTCTCATCTTAATTTTGTTATCAACCTCTACTAAACATGGTTTGTATACTTGACTTCTTTAAACAGCTCTTCCTTAGGTGAAGGACTATATAAACCATCTTTTGCTGGATTTGTTGATGTTGATTTAACTGATAAGAAACTTTCGCTCAGAAGTTTGGTATGGTCCTTTCATTATGCCAGTTTGAAACAATACTTGCTCTTGTTATGTTCTCATTTACTTAACTATCTTAATATACTTTTGGTCATTACTCTTTCTTTCCAGATTGATCACTCTGTTGTAGAAAGTTTTGGAGCTGGAGGAAGAACTGCCATCACATCCAGGGTTTATCCAACTATTGCAGTCTTTGAAAAAGCTCTCTTATACGTGTTCAACAATGGCAGCGAGACCATCACAGTGGAGAATCTTAATGCTTGGAGTATGAACTTACCTGTGATGAATGTCCCTGTAAAGAACCGAGGGAGAGAGAATCCACGCAATGAATAAGGAAATGAACTAAGAAAATCTAATCTTTATTTCAGGAAAGATAGTTATTAGAACATTATGGTGTTGAGATTGTGTAGTACACTATAAAGAATAATCCAACCCTTTTTGTTCTTGTGTAATTCTCATGGATATAAATAATACTTGTTTTTTTTCTTTGCAATTAATCTTTTTATTTTTTATTAATATTTTCGTAGGTCTTTTTTGAACAAATATATTTCTATAAGTAGAATAATATTTTATAGAAGTATTTACTAAGACAACCTAGATCCTATCATGCATTATGTTAGATAAAAAATAATCACTTCAAGGTCTTGAAGAAATATTTAAAAAATCACAAAATAGAAGAAATACAAATGAATGGAAAGGAAATAAACAAAGAATGAATTCTACTTTCACTTTAAAGAGATTCTACGAAATAGACTTATTTCATACATTTTTAATTTAGATAGAAATCAAGAAAATTTAAAGATTCATTGTATAAATATCATCATTTGCTTTTAGAATGCTCCATGCTTTGGAAGAAAGGTGTACATTTTGGAAGTGGAATTTGAGGAGAAGTTATAGACAACTCTTCGTACTTTGTATTTAGAAAACTTTATTTAATTTTCTTGTATTATTGTACTTGTGCAACATTTTTCATGCACTTTTAGGATATGAAATTCTTTAATTCTTTAAGAGTATTTTCAAGAATTCATCCATCTCAATAACAATAAAAAAAACTTAAATAATCCTATATTAAAAGTGAAATTGACAAAATAAAAACGCCATAATAAATGCAAAGAACCCATATGCTTTAATACCTTACAATGAGTGTAAATTTATAGAGTTGGAAAAGCAAAATCCTTTAATGTTGATTATGCAACTAGATAATTAAAATTAAAAATTATATTTATATTGAATGATTTATTGGATATTTTGATGATTTTTAATTTATTAACTGCAACTTCTAACCAAACTTCTAACCAAAAAGAAGTTTAGCTTCCATTCTCCAAACTTTTACAAATGAAAAATCTTTTTTTTATCTTCTTTTATTTTGTCTTTTACTAGTTCTAATAAAACAAAATTGATTCTTGAGAACCCTCACATTCTTATATCATGTTAAGGTATTATAGAAGAAAAAACTACAAAATTTAATCTAATTTAGTGCAATCAATTAACATGTTGGTTAATTCTATTATAAAATATAGAAAAACAAAACATTTTCATATAAAATTATAGATAGTCTTTCTAACAAGTACTTTCATTTGGCATCCAAAATTGATGAAGTTATTGTGAAGGCTAGATTTTATATTTTTAATCTAAATCTAAATCTTTATTTAGTGATAAAAAAATATTTTTCAATTAATATTTAACCAGTAGTTACTGAAAATATTGTATAAAGAAGAAACTATTGAAATCATTGTATAAAGTAGATTTTAGAATTCAAAAAAATAAATACTTGAATCATATAAAATCTGAAATATATAACTACTAAAATCATTTAAGTAGTAATCCCACCTAAAATAAATGTTCTCTTATTCCAACTTTCTTAAAGTCTCTAGTAATATAATTAAAACACAACAAGTTCTTTACCATTGTAGGAATTGAGTGGTACAAGGCTTGAGAATTCAAGAGAAGTTAGGAGGAGACAAGAGAAGTTACGAGGAGACAAACCATTTATCATTTTGATATGTGTCAAGTGGAAATGTAGTGGAAATGTAGTGATGTATACAACTAATACAATCTAACAAACTAATAGACTTGAATGTTGTTCCTATGTGACAAGATCAATTCAATAAGGTATTCACCATTATTTTTTATTATTCAATTTTTGGACAACGTGAAATAAAAAAGAAACCAAAAGCTTTTCTTTCCCTCTTTATTAATCTAGTGATGGGAGAGTAAGAATACTATTTTATTGCTAAAAATATAAATGATTGAAAATAATAAGACATGTATTTATATTTTTTTTTAACTCTAAAAAAATTGTATTGTTTATTTCATATGAATAGTTAGTGAATTCTCCTAAAACAAAATGATGGATTATAAGAATGTATGACTTAGACTTGTTTAATTTCACTACTTAATGTTATCTACTTTAATCTATATTTCACTATGATCTAATTAAATACATGCATCAACATCCCATTAAATACATGAATCAACAACCTATTTATAAGATACACGCTAGAAGATCAAGAATCAATGAAAAAAGATATTATGCAAAATCTTTATTTTACTCATCTATGCATCCTTTCTATATTTTTTCTAGTTTACTTGTATGCTCATATTGGTCATTTTTGCCTTATACAAAGATCTTTTTGTTTTTATTAACTATATTCTTATTTGACCGATAAAAAGAAAAAATTTGGATCATACCTGATAATTGAAGAATGTCTATTCACACTCCCTAAGATCTAAGAATACCTTAATTATTAGCAATTCATCAGGTCATTATACCTAAGCACCCTAACTTTTTCACGTACTACCATATATTAATTATTTAAGTTATGTATTAAAGATGTATCCTAGTGAGATATGATTTTATTTTCTTAGTTGATTACTTTGTTCTTATTTAAATTTCATTACCTTTTCATATATTTATATCTTTATTGGTAAGCGGTTATCAAGTTATAAATTCTATCTTAGTAAGATATACATGTATTTTGCTTCTATAACTATGACCACTACTATTTATCTTATCTTGATAAAATACACATGTTTCCTATTCCATTAGAATAGTAATTGCCAATACAAGTTTTTCTTTAAAGCCAAATGAATATTCCATTGGTTTTTTTCAATTATTTAGTGATGGATATTCATAAATGGAATAGTTAGAAATGAAATAGTTAATGATAGAATTACTATTATTCTTTTTGTAATAATGACCATTAAAGCTAGAAATCATGACTTTTTTATGATTTCAAAAGTATAATGTTTTTTACTCATCTCATGAAACTATTTGGATATATATTATGGAACTTTTATAAACAAAGTTTAAAATTCACACAACCTTTTGCTTTTTCATTTGTCTTTTTATTCCAAACCATTCTTTGAATGTAACTTAATCTTCAATAAAAAAGAGTAGAATAGGACAAAAAATTGAGAGGTAGTGTTAACCATTAACTTCTTAGGCTTTATTCGTTATAAAATAAAAGACATAAGTTACTCACTACTAAAAATAGGTTGGGATCTATATATTATTTTTTTTTCTTATGATTTTTTTATTAATCATATTCATAGAAAAGTGTATGTATGGTTCTTAAATAATATAATTTGATCCTAATTAACAAACTTTGTCAAGAAAAACATTTTTAGTTGAAGATATTGATATTAATATCTGGAGTCAACTTATTATTTTTATAGTAAATTTTAGCTTAGAAAGTGAGATTAAAAATTTATATTTATTTATAAAATCTCTTAGTATATGTAGTAGTAGTAGTAGTAGTAGTAGTAGTAGTAGTAGTAGTAGTAGTAGTAGTAGTAGTAATAATAATAATAATAAAGAAAGAGAAGAAGAAGAAGATGATGAGAACTTTGAGATGGAATATTAATGTAACGATTAAACAATGATAATAACAAATGTCAAGGTTAGAGGTTCCACTAATGGTATATCAAACAAGTATAGTATAAACTCTTATTATTGAATTGGAAACCACACACAAAGGAGGTTCCAATCAGATTATATATTGTTAACATGATTACATTAGTCATCTTATTCAATTAATGCTAATACTTGTAAATCTCGTCAAGCATTCATGATTATAACTTATGTTAACAACAAATCAAGTTCCTTTCATAGCTCAGGTGTCGGTTATACCATACATTATGGGCTATGAAAGTGCCAAGCATTTGTTGTACCAAGTGTTATACAACATAAATCAAGATTAGTCATTTAACAAGCAAAGTATTAAAGAGTGAACAAGATAGCAAATATAAAACATGTTAGTATCAAACATTAAAGTCCATATTAAGTTTACATTATACTTATTCTTACACCATTAGTGTAACCTTTTCACCTTGACATAATTAACTTAGCTAGACATAATGAAAGAAAGCAAAATAGATAAACAAAATAAGAACATAAAAGTTAACTAAGTAAAGGAAAGGAAATGAAAGGCATAAACTTAATATTAATGAAAACAAAGCATAAAAAATACAAAGAGAGAAAGGAAGAGCATGATCTTGATCTGAACACCAAGATGCCTAAATGCATGGCAAATGCCTCCTTTTATAGGCCAAAAATGGGAACTATTGATTTGATGACTAATTGATAAGTGGGTGACCAACTTTTGACTTGGTGACAATCCTTATCTTCTCTTGTCTGCCCAAAACGTCATTGATAACGTCAAAATTGGAGCCAGTTGTAAACATGAAAGTTGTAGGCAATTGTCTCAGCTTTCTTGTGTAAAACATTCAGCTCATTTGGACTTCTAGAACTCCAGATATGGCCAAAATACCGAACAGTGCTCGGGTTGGAAGACAGATTCGGGCTTCTTTGTTGTTGCTACAATTTGGACTTGATAATGGCCTTTTTAGATCTTGGGCTCCATATGAAAGTTGTAGGCCTATGTCTTACCTTTCCATCCATATAAATTGGACCTAAATCTGAGATCTGTAGCTCCAGATATGACTCAATTACCGAACAGTGTTCCGGTTTGGATTGCACCGACATCTCTTTTCTAATTTTTGTCATCTCTTTGCCCTTGCAATTTAAGTTGTTAAAGTCATCAATCAATCCTTTCATTTATGTGATAGGTCTGCATTTAAAATGAACATTTACCATAAATTAAAGGTATCTTATATTATTAGATATATTATTATAAAACATGATTTAGTTAAGGAGTTATTGATACTTCAAGTGCAAAATAATGATATAAAACCTTAATAAAAATACACTTTTAAGTATCAATCAATGAGTTTAAGTACTGAAATTGAAAGGATAAAGAGATGACCAAACTTAGAAAAGAGATGTTAATGCAATCCAAACTGGAACATTGTTCTATAATTGGGTCATATTTGAAGCTGTAGATCTTGGATTTATGTTTATTTTATATAGATGGAAAGATAGGATATTGGCCTACAACTTTTATGTGGAGGTCTGATTTTAAAACGACCATTTTCAAGTCTAAATTGTAGCAATAATAAAAACGTCTAAATCTATCAT